ACGCGTAGGTGGATATTCCAGAGAATATTTTCCCCTGGAAAGGTCGCCATTCCGCGTGCTTTATTTCCATATTTACTATAGAAGCGCAGCCATCTTGGTTCCAACAGCGAAAAATTTGCATTTCCTTGTGATATTTTATATTAAAATTGCATCAAGGATGATATCTCCGAATATTTTGATATTTACAGTCATTTGTTACTCGCGTAATTTCGTTTTTGATACGCAAACGAAGTTTGAGGTTAAGTCGGTGGGACCAAGATGGCGTCGCTGATTGGAGTCCGAATCGAAATAGGGATAATAAATATCGTGGCAGTTTCAGTCGAGGAACTGTACTTAATCGAATTGTTATGACATCATTAAGAAAGTGAGGAGTAGAGAAGGTGCCAGTTACATTAGGAAAGAAGTGTGGTATTGACAGGTACACGAGCAGATTTTACTAAGAGTGGGCGTCGTAGGAAAAATTGTCGGCTATTTATGCTCGATTGAGAAGGTGGACGAGGTCGAGGGGAAAAAGAGAAATAGAAAGAGCAACGTGAAATCTATAAATTCTGCTAAAAGTAATAATTCGAAATAATTTAAAAAATACAGGAGTATCAAAAACGATACCGAAGATAATAAAATTATTTGTCTCCATAATAAGGCTGGTATTTAACACTAGGTTTACGGACATTGTCTGTATACTGAGGACACTTGTCAAATTGACAGGTAAAAGAAACCACGTGCATATAATTTTAAAACAATTATATATTATATTAACAATTTTAATATAAGCTAACTAAATCTGTTACCATCGTATAATTAGAGTAACCCTTCCGTCAAATTCACGGATTTTATAAATCTAGTGTTGAACTGATAAGGGAAAGAATTATGCATATTACATCATTATTATATTATTAGCATTGTTATATACAGCATATGTTACAGCATTCACACGAGAGATTAACAAATTAAAAATAAAATCAGAGGTAAAAGAAATAAATTGAAGGATCATATAAAGAGCAAACTATAGCTTCGTTTAGGTCGATTTGAATAATGGAAGATATAAGGGACGTTGAATGACCTCGATCGGATTTCCATGTTCCCTTTCGTTCGCGAGATCATGGATCGTTTCACTCGTCTCGATATCGTTGTCGATACAACAGGATACGAGGGTCGTGGTCGCACAGGTCCATAAACTACCCGAAATCACGAGGTCGTACGGTTTTACGAGCCCACCTTTGTGATCTGCTGTGCGGACGAGCACCTAGGAGCGTGCACGCGCGGCTGAAAAAGCCTCGAGATATAGTTGTTCGGGATCCATGGCGATCGAATTTACGATCGTCGATTCAGTCGTCGGCCATGTTCCTGGTTATCAGTCGGACCAGTCATTTCGCTTGGTTTTTTCGCAAATGAGAATTTCGAGGGAACGATCGCGATGAAAGAACTCGATGAGAAATCGATGAGATGAGAATCCGCTAGGAATGTAAGGAGGATTCGATGAGAATGTGCAGGATATTCGATGCGAATTGAATCGGAGCTATCTGGAAGCTCGCTGTGATAAAATTCGCGTGAAAAATCGACGGGATATTGGTGGACATGTTACGGACACTCGAATATGATATCGAGTACAACTGGATGAAGAAGAACACTTATTTCCAAAATTTTTATCTCGAAATTTAAAAGACGATACGATTCCGTGCGAATAGTCCGCGATTTTCGTTTCTCGCGATTTTATAGCGGATGTATTCGTCATTCGCAAAGGCGACTGGGAAATACGTAAACGATGTGACGTTGGTGGACGACTTTCATAGAAAACGAATAAATCCGGTGAAAAGAGAGAATATCTTCGATGGAAGACACGTTTCTTGAAATAGAAATTTTTTGATATATTCTGCTATTTTGCGCATTGTCATCGTGAAGCTCGATGAGAGATCGAGAATCGCGTTACGAATTTATTGTATAGGACATGTCAAAACAGATGGTATTACTATTGCAAGATGGCGGAACTAATCTTGAGACACCGAAAATTCACGAAAGAACAAGAACACGATAACGCAAACTCAAAACTCGTAAACTGATTTAACTAAGGGAAAGAACACCAAGATAACGAAAACACGCAAAGACGCACTCTTTTAAAACTCTCTTTCCAACACCAAGCGACTCACGCTTGTGCTGGACACAACCGATTTCCAAGGACTCTGTTTTGCTTGTCAAGTACCACGCTTTTATGCTTTTCTTAACCTACGCTTCACCTCCCCGTAGAGGAGTCACGCAACTTAATTTTGTTATATAGAATAACGTTTCGATTTGCTTCTAGAAGATATCGATCGGTTTACAATTTGTTTTTGTTGGCAATAGCCGATTCGCGATTTCTTTTGGTATCCTACACTATGCATGATGTTATACTACGTATAAAAACGAGTCGAAAAGTAAGAATAAAATTTTATCGTTTGTGGCCTCGTTTCCGATAAAATCGAGATTGAAATAGAAAGCGCAGATACCCCGTCGGCGGCCATATTGAAAGCATTTAGTGGAGGTGCAGTGGAATGCACACATTTTCAAACTCGATTTCCTCGAAAACGCAGCCCCCGAGGAGAAAATTGTACTCTTCTCATTCGATTTATTTTAGATCGTAGAATCATCTACTGATTCATTGTGCCATCCGTCTTGAGTCATCTTGTCGACAGAAAGACACAGCTTTAAATATATCCAGGTTAACCTCGCCGATGTTTCATTTAGACATCTTCTATCTTTTATACTTTTCAAGGAATAATTCTAGATAAAATAAAATAATTTCCCAGTAGAAAATTATTACAGAAACAATGTCAGAAACGTCTTCTTCTTGTTCCCTTTGTAACTTCTTGGAAAGGATGGGAATTATTTAAGAGTTCAAGATGAAATTCGCGAAATGTCAAGTATATTCTTTAGAACGAAAATTTAGCAGTGATGGTAGCTACAACTTTCTTCCATACTGCAAGAGCCTTTTCATGCCTTTTCATGTTATTAACAGTCATTTCTCGAGCCATTTCATCCCTTCCAACCATGCTTTAATCGCCCTTCAAACGAGCGATTATCGCGACGATTCGAGACACAATGGGAGACTCTTCGAGGCGAGATAAATTTTTCGCATGATCCCAGACCGATTCACCAGTCGTAAAAGAATTTATCACCGAAGGAACTATCTTCATGGGTCGTAAAACAGCGAATCTCCGCGACATCGGACGGATTAAGCTTTCTCCCCTGGCGAGCGCAGTTCGATGAACAATAAGTTAAACAAACGATTACAGAAACGAATCTCGGATGTCATTTGTCTGTCTTCCATGTCATTTCCTTTTTCTTCCTTCTCTGCTAATCCACTCGACGATTGCTATTTCTAAACCGGTTTTACGTCTTCATAAAGTGGCTGCGATTTTTATTACTACACCTTGTCAGCGAAATTGCAAATGGAATTGTTAATTAACCAAGATGACATTTCTTCGCAGAATTTTTCTCTTACCGAACATGCTATATAATTTACGTATAATTTGTTTGCGATTTTAAGTCGTTTCGCATCCATTTCGGAAGCTCCTTGTTTCGTAATCCTCCGTTGAATTCGGAACTCGTTTATTTTAATGTATTCGAGTTTTAAAACATTTTCAGACGTTTTATTAATTTCACTGCTCGATCGTTTATTTTATATATTTCTCGCGTGTTTTATAGTCTTTCGGTAGGAACGAACAGGCGTTGATGCTTGCATAATTTTTACGATGGTGACGGAATAATATATTTCGCTGAAGTAAAAGATTTTAGGAAGAATATCGTCACTCACATAATTCATAAAGACTTCCTAAAACGTATAGATCGTATGATAAATCTGTGCAAAATTTTGACGAAACGTTATTCGCGTGTTTCAAAAACAATATTCAGAAATACGTACTATAAATTTCTGTGTCGTGTACGTTTTAGAGAAAGCATTATTATTCGTAATTTTTACACATTTCCGAAGTGGTATATTACAAATCTACGTAAGAGCTTCGGGAAAAGTATTATTATCCCTATCACACTTTTTCGCGGGAAATTTATGAAACTATAAAATTTGTAAAAACGTAAACCTCCGACAGAGCCTTAGCGAAAATATGATTTATATTTTCATCGAAAAGTTAGCACTGTCTCGTTACTCCTAAATATTACCGTTCTTTTTTACGGGAAGATTTATGTCTTAAACACCATACTTCTAGAAATACGCATTATGCATCGACATAGCAAACATTACTATTTTCGGAATATCTCTCGTGAAAAATTTCCACGGATATTCACTGAGAATTAACACGGTGCTAATTCTATATAAAATCATTCAGATCTACAGAAAATATGTGCAGATCCAGAGATAGTATATCCAAAAGATAGTATTCATTCTTTCCCTTTTCACAGATATCATTCTAAATTAATAACAAAATTTTATATTCCTCGCAGAAAGTATCTCTATTTCCTAGTATTTTCTACTAGTATCCACTATTTGCAGAAAATTGTCCCGCCCCAAAAATTCCAAATTTCTTAAAGGGATAAAGTGTAAGCCATAGTAAATTTAATCTTTTATAAGTTATACGTTAACCACCCCAAAAATTACAAATTTCTTGAGGGGTTAGCATATGAGTCACAGTAAATTGAACGTTAACCACCTCAAGAAATTCCAAACTCCTAAGTCAAGGGGTTAAAATCGGCCATTTAGATCGTAGTTGGCATCCCTAAAATTCTAAATTCCTACGTCAAGGGGTTAAAATCGGCCATTCAGATCGTAGTTGGCATCTCTGAAGTTCCAAATTCCTAAGTTAAGGGGTTAAAATCGGCCATTTAGATCGTAGTTGACATCTCTAAAATTCCAAATTCCTAAGTCAAGGGGTTACAATCGGCCATTTAGATCGTATTTGTCACCCCTAAATTTCTAAATTTCTTATTCAGATTCCAAGAAAAATTCCAAACGAATCACACCAGTGTTTTAATCCCCTGGTTACATATAATTAGCAAATGGAAGCACTGCTTACCCAACATTCGAATCACGTTCCTCTGCGAGGCGCTTCTACTCCTTCCGGTGTCACAGTGGTTCTGTCCGCTAGGCAAGTGGTTCCTCTTGACGGTAGCCGTGAGCAGTCTCGATCTTCTCAGCTTGATCGCGATCAGTATGTAGAGAACGATGATGATAGTCATCGGAAAAACGAAGAACAGCATCGTCGATATCTCGAAGGCGTGTTCGATGAGGATCTGCTTCATGGAGCATCGAGCTGTGTCCAAGACCACCGAGCCGTTGCTGTACTCGTAGATGATGCCAAATTGAATAGCCTGTGGCACCGCTAGGCACAGTGCCAACAGCCAGATCACTATGACGAACTTCACCGCTCGGGACAGCTTCGACATGGTGTGAGAGATAAAAGGATGACAGATCGCGACGTACCTGAAAGAACAACACACGTCGGTTCAGTTTTTCCGTCGAGCTCCAAGCGTTTGGAGGCTTGTTAGCAGTCTCTGGCCAAGCCTCTCCGATGGGAACACGTCGGTGGAGTGGAAAATTGAGATTAATGGGAGAGACGGATTAATGTACCATATATACCTTAACCTATTAATATTGGAATATTGCACTTCGCGTGCTGGCTGGATTTTTATTTAATTTTTTTACCCCTAGCTCGACTTTTTTGGTTAATTAATTTTAGTTTTAATTTTAATTTTAATTGATTTTAGAATCAGAGGTTTATAAAGAATAAATAGAATAGGACTTCCTATAACGCGAGAGATTATTTCACAAATATCTCTTTAGAGATACTCTACAAGAAATCAAGAGTACGAGTCATTAGAAATAAATAAAGCATTATCTTTTATTTTATCTTGGAACATTTTTAAAGGTAAAACCCACTTCATTTTTTAATCCGTGAAGTCCTATGAAATTATTTCAATAGACATACTATTAACTATGGTAGGAATGGCTATTTTTAATTAATTAATTAAGCTGCCCTTAGGGTCCATTGATCAGATACACACGAGTACGCTGTTTTAATTAGAAAAACCGAACCTAATTATTTTTGTCCGGAGTTAATGAACCATGTGTCTATTAAATATGCGTATTACCCAATTTGAATAAAGAGTGTACATTAAAACCCGCGAGATTTGAAAAGAGTTCTCAGAATAATTCATGTAAAACACGTACTCGAAGTTCCACGGCATGGGAGCATATTTTACATGAAAATTATTCGTCAGAATACAGGGTCGCTAATGAATAGCCAGTGAACGTATTAATGGAGCCATTCTGAGGACAAAATCCTTCATTTTTCTCAAATTTATACGTTGTATTTATATTAGCCGAAACTGGATGTTTGTATATCGTTTGTTGCATTTAATATTCTTTACGATGTTTCCAAAGATATGTAAATCGAAAAGTCTGCAGCGTAAAGAAAGACGGAATTGACAATTTTATAGGTTTCCGCAGCGTTGCTTAGCATTTCGAAACTGAGCATACACATCGGAGCCTTCTTGGACGGCAAAAAGGACCATAAAGCGAGAAGCCGATAATTCTTTTAGAATGGCAAAAAGGTGAACGTAAAATCTGTTACAGAAAATCGAATCCTTTCTCGAGAGATGACCCTATTTCTGCAAATAAATTTCTGATAAAAACGAAAAGGAATTCGCTGCAATAAAATATAGTTAAAGTAAGTTCTGTGAATCCGAGGAGAAACAATGTTACCTTTATAGAAATATATCGCGACAACTGCGTTCCTCCGGAAGCCATCTTTAAAAAGACCTTTTCAACATCCACTTTGTCAACTTGTCACGATAGAAACGCCTTTTGCAAAGCTGTGGCCCAACAACGTAATTGACGTTGTAAACAGGGAAAAATAGACCAGATAGAAGGGAAGTGAAAGATCTCTTAAATTTCCAGACTGTTACTTAATTCTTTAAACATCCACGGATATTTTTAACACATTTTTTAACCCTCTCGTAAAATCCCTAATTGTTACTCGTTTAATAATCCTGGTATTTAACATAGTAGGAAAAATTAAATTTTTGATAATATATGTTACGTAGATATGTTATGTAGAGGATGAAAAGTCCTAAGTCAAAGATGAAAAATAGTTCTGGTTCGATTTCGGAAGATATTAATCATAATTGTCGGAAAAGTATCGATTCTTCGTTTAACGAGCGTGAAGCGCTCAATCTATCAGCCATCTTGCCACAATTTCCGTCGTAATCGTTCGTCAGAGAGTAGGGTTACACGAGGCAGAGATCGAAGCGTCTCCGAACAGAAAATAAAAGAAAGACGAGGCCCGGGAGAATTTGGACAAGCTTTATTTGCGTCAGCCAGGAAGGGTTACTTCCGTCTGTTCTGGGAATTTCCGCGTGACAAGGGGGTGACATGTAACCATACACCCCGAAAGCTCGATGCTTTTAGTCGCAAACACTTTGGTCTATACTTGTCAAGAGGTCCCAAACGAATTACAACCGCGTGGCAAACATCAAAAAAGCGATTTACCGTACCACGATATTTATCCGGCGTGAAAATAGACAAGGATAATTAATCGCGATATCGAAAGAGTAATTAAAAATAATGTGAAATTTGATAGCTCGGTGTAATATTCTCTTTAATGAAAAAATTAATTACTCGTGGTTTGGGAAACTCTGATTCTAACTACAATCGAAGAAAGTAAAACAGAAGCATTGGAAAAGGAAGCAGAAGAAATAAAGAAAGGGCTAGTTTGGAGATTACGTTTTGGTCTGCCTCTAGAATCTGGAGTAACAGTGATCAAACAAAGTCTGAAACGTCAATTGCAAAAACCCTGCCATTTAGCAAGCCGAACATACAGCACCTTTAACCGACGTCTCGAAGTGATCGAATCCTTAAACACGACTGCTTCGATCAATCACCCATTTCGAAGGAAAGGTAAACAGAAGAAGAAGCCTACAGTTGGTTCACATGTCTCTGCAACCCTTCCAGCCATCTCGAGCTCTTTCAGACCATTACTCTACGTCACTGCTGCCTACCGGTTCAACCCTTAAGGTTATCAAAGTATCATCTTGATAGCCACGTGCTACTTCCAACAAGGAACAATTATTTATCACGATAAGAACGGACGAGTAAAATTCTCGAGTTCGTTTATCGTCTTGTACTACCTTTCTACAATTTTCTGTTATCTTAACGAACTCGTGTGATTTTGTATATTATAGCTAAATAGGCTGACGTAACTTTCCAAGAGCAAGGACCAGCTGCAGCTTATGAAGTTTCTCATCCAAGTCTGCGAATGAGTTAAGTGTAATTTCTAGAACACCCATGTCTAAAATTATACAATATACCATCGCTCTGCAGTCATACTTACATAAACATGTACAAAGAAGAAAAGTTTTCAAGCTTCCCTCTAAGCTGTAAAACTCACTCTGACACCATACTTCGTCGGAAGCTATTTTTTTAAAATTCTACTCGGAAGCTCGAAAGCGTTTGTAAAAGCTCGAAGGGATTATCTATCTACGAACATTCCTGAGGATTTTAACGCTAATCACGTGTCTTTGTATTAAAGGAGGATTTAAAGAAGTATTACAAAAGAAGGACTCATGCCATCGTCATCCTAAACTGCTCACGTAGAATGAGAAATATAAAATGAAAAATAGCTGTGATCAAACCCAAAGAATATTTAGGATTATCATGATTAAAATGTCATAAGCTCACAGCAGCTTGGATACTTTTTATCAGCCATTATGATAATCAAGAAAATAAACACCAAAGGCCAGAAATTCCGAGAAGCTTTCATCGGTCTACCACGTTATTAGTAGCTCAATTTAAATTCGTTTACGAACCTCTCGACGGTGAAGGCGGTAATGGTGAGCACCGTTGCGTTCACAGACGTCTCCGCAGCAAAGCTCTGAATAATGCAGAACACCTCCCCGAACATGTACGGGAATTGCGACCAGATGTAGTACATCTCCGGCGGCAGGCCGGATATCAGCAGCAGTAAATCAGACACGGCCAAGCTGAACAGATAGTAGTTGGTCGCCGTGTGCATCGACTTGTTACGCGCGATCACCACGCACGTGGACACGTTGCCTACCACCCCGGTAAGAAATATCACGACATAGATCACCGTGATCGGTAGAACAATGTACAGTGGATCGCGTCTGGTAGACGAGTCTTCTTGTTGCAGAAACGTCACGATCGGACTCGTGTAATTCCCCAGCTGGTCACCTGGGACCAGGGGATCCTCGCGACTTCCTGTAACGTTTATGGCTGTCCTCATCGCCGATGCTTTCGAATCGACAGACTCGTTCAACGAAATCATTCCTTCGGACCAGGCTTCTCACGAGTTCCGAACAGACGAACGAAGATGACTAGTTTCTATATGATTGACTAGCGGAGAATCGAGGAGACTTTGACGAGCTTCAGAGTGTCGTCGAAGATCCCTCTGGAGGTTCATTTGCGAAGACGTGAGCGACACGACGACAGGCAGGGTCAACGACCGTCATTTTCCGGCCCTTCGAGGGACGAAGAGGAGCTCCTGGTGTCCCTCGGCGACGATTAAGTCAATTTCGGCCAATTACGGGTAAACGATTCGATCATACGTGTCTAGTTGCCTTTGCTATCGATCCGGCTAACCAAGTGACCATCGATGCGTGCTTCTTCTTGCGAGGTCTCCATTTAGGTTCGATAAGTGGGTTCGAAATTCTTCCGTGGTGGAAAAATATCGAGGTATATGGTTCTCATTGGAGAGTTACTGGGTGATATGTCCGGTTCGAAGTGCTCGGATCGATTCGAGGTATTAAAAATAGATCAGTCGTTCGATTAGAACTCTGACGGCCTGTGTATCCTCAGGGACGAAGCGACAAATAGAAAATGTCGTTGGTCTCGGTTGAGACATATTAATAGAAAATCGTCAACATGGACGGGTTTATTATGGTTCCTCAGGTCTGCGAAACGTCCAATCCACGTGTCGAAATCTGAAGACCATCGTCTGGTTCTTCTTCCAGCACGTTTCAATAATTGGATTACTAGTTGTTCGTTATAAATTCAGTTAGTTTAATTATGACGAGTACTTACTTTCTGCTATTTTAATTATCTTCCTTGCTATTGATTTTCTTGCAATTTTCATCAGTTGTGAATTTATCAGGTGTTCCATTAATCACGTACTGGTGGCAGTTTAGCGATCCAGGCAGTCGATTCTCGCGTTCGATTGATCAATTCAAAACTGAATCGTGTCGGTGTAATTGAGATCGAACCAGATTTAATTGTACGTAGATCGTTCAATTCGTCAAATCGTTCTATCGAATGTGAATCGAAATAGTTTGAGCTTCGCTTACTGTTCCGTATAATAGTCGGACGATTCTCGCACGCGTGTGATTAATACCTTTAACGCAATTAACATGCGACATAACACGCGACTCCAGAGACGTTTGATTATCTAATCAGCCGTAAACGCGCCTAAAAATATTTGCACGTGTTAACGTTTCGTATTTTTTCTCGTGTTTTTCACTTTTGTTTTTCCTTTGTCGGGAGTATCAATGACGAAACTATTGCAGCAATTAATCGATCGTTCCGCTAAATTTGTTGAACCATCTTGTTTACGATACTATGTATTATTTCTGACCTAGTTTCCAATGATCCAGATCGTTCTCCTTTTTCCATCCAGCATATGACAGTGAATATCCTAGAAATTGTGAAACGAAGAAATTAAAAATTGCGTAAAAAATTAAATATCAAACAGAAAAATTAAATATCAAAAAGAAAAATTAAAAAAATTATAAAAGTATGAAACGTTGGAGCACGATGAAAAATTGCGAAAGTTGGAAAATCGTGAATCGTTTGGGAAGTATTTCGAATTTACGTTTCCACGGTACCTTGTATAATCGTTGGTGTTATGATATGTCGTCGTAAACGGAAATTAACACCAAGCGAATTTCAATCGGTTTCCAAACGACTTTATGACACAATGATTAATTTATAACTGTTATGGTTACGTCGATTTTCGTATCAATTTGTCCCGGATCATCGATAAACTGTATGATTTATGGCGACGACACGATTTCAACTGGATTTTACAGTTTCCACGATTAATCATGGCAATTATTCATCCAACTATAAATACTGACATATTTTCTAACGTTTATTTGCACTTGCAATAATTAACAGTAATTAATTCATTGTTTCTTGAACTTTAACTCAACATCGTTTTTTTTTCGTGTATTTTAATTATTCGGTTCATTGGAAATTATTTTTAAATTCTTATATCAATCGAGGTTATTATAATTTTTTATTATCTCCATAGTAGCATTGTAATGTCTTCGTAATATTTACAAGAGTGAATTATTTTCTACCAGCACTTCCGACCATTCGTCAAATTAGGTAATAAGTAAGACACTTCAAGTTCGCATTTCAACGTTTCTTGTACAACGACTAATTAATCGCTTTACCCTGTTCTTCGAGCCTCTAAGTCGTTTCTTCTGTATCAGTTACGCGAGCTCATTCGCAATAGAACAGCTCTCAATCACCGAGAATTGGTTTCAAGTTGTCAGATACATCAAACTCGCGTTCAAAACAATTTTTTTATCCAAATAATTAACGAGGCGTTTTAATTAATTCTTATCGTAGAAAATAATATTTACTCTTCGTAATAGTTATCAGCTCTTCGATACACTAATCCCGCGAACCGCTGCATTTCCCGTGGATATCGTTGAAAATTCTTTCCCTTTCTTCCAGGCTATCCATCAATCCTCTTTTTCGAAGTTCCTCTTTCAATTCCAGTAGTCTGTCAAAACGCTGAATCTTATTTCGCTATACGTCTTTATTTTTATTTCACTATATATTTTATTTCGCTATTGAAATAGAATTTTAATACTTTTTACTTACATCATCCGTAATTATGGTTAAACTATTTACTTTTCAAAGTTCTTTCTTCTTCTGTGGCTAAAAATATTACAGAAAAGAAATGTCGGTTCTCAAATCAGAAAAATAAACACGTTTGATAAACACGTTTCCTTCTCACTGACAAATTATGCACTGTTTATTCTAAAATTTACGAAATTTACATTTCGATATCAATAATCAATTTTTCTACCAATAAAAATTTCGCCCAATACTTGTCTCAAAGATTAGTCGAAGAATATTTTAATATCAGATCGTCAGCTGTTAAATATTTCCGTACATACAACTTCCTTATAGAAAGGTAACCTCAAATTTCGCACGCTGCTCCCTCGTTGCACTGACTAGCGACACTCAATAATCGGATCAGGATAAATCTTTTTCTTTCTTCTTATAGTTCGCGTTATCGACACTATGAACATTATTAGCGCGCGGTTCGCTAGCGACTGACAACTTGCGAGAATCTATCAATCGAAGACGTTCGATCTGTTCGCGCGTAAAATCGGAATGTTCAGTCGTCGGAATGTTCGTTGATCGTGTTGCGTCATTTCGAGCGCGAAATGGATCGAGATCCACGGTGTTTCGTCTTTGATTGTTTCGAAAGTGTCGTTGTTTCGCGAGTGAGAATGCTGTTTGGTGTTTCAATTATGGGAATAGTGCATTGGAATCCGCATTACCGCTTCGTTCGTGATAATTGTTGGCCACGCTAATTACGTGTCGTCGAGCGTCAGTGGTATGCAATTTTTCTGGACATCGAGAGATTGCAATGAGTGTTTCAAGCAATGAACTGAAATTTCGATTCTACAAAGGTACGTGGAAACTTGTGTTCGATTGAATACGAAAGATATTCAGGTGGTCAACGATGATCGCTACGAATATTCGTTTGAGGTTATGGGGGAGTTTCTATTCGATTCCGCGGGATATTGCTAATAGTGAAACATCGAACGTATTTACGAACAACGTATTATCGTGATCGACGATGAGTTTCTTTGGATATTTATTTTGACATGATAGAAGTTTCGAGTTGAATAGAGGTACTATTAATATTGAAAATTTGAATTCAAATAAATATCAAGGTATTATGACATTTTATGATTGATTTTCTTCCATATTGCTTTCGAGGTGTAGATTAAAATTTCCGACGACTTTCACTAGCATTTTTGGTTAGGTTAACATTTCGAAATGTTCCTAGGAATGATAAAAAGTGATTGAGCGTAAACATACGTCCCAATTAATTATTTTATTCGGCTCTTCTCTTTTCTAGTCAAAATAAATGTAATACTATTAATACTATTAATATTTCGCGGACAAAATATTATTTATCGAAAGTTTCAGTAGGCTGTGTCGTGCGTTTTGTTCATAATACAGTACGAGTATAGGGCTATCTATCGACGAGTACATTCAGTGTACAGCCTTTATGAAACAAATTGCCATTTATGGAAACGTTTCGCATTTTTCATCGTTCTGTTCCACGTTTCTCTGCAAAAGCAGAAAGCATTCGCGAATCACTCGCTAGGTGCGCAAATGAAGTTCTTTTATGGGTCGCGTTTATATTACAAAATGGCACAGTTGTGGCGCTACTTGTACCTTATAAAAAGCGTAGCAAATTTTTTTTTTTTCTACATCTCTCAACCACCATAAGAGCCAAGTACAAAATAGAACTCATTCGTCATTGTAATATACAAAATTAGCATAGCTATTTAAGAGAATAGACCAAATTCTTAGCTTCGTATTCATAATTTTACAACAATATAACCTCGAATATTTTTTTAAAATTCCTTTTCGAATTACGAATCATTTTACATTTTCTCTACATTTTCTCATGAATTTTTTCATGGCATATATTTTCCAAATGATGCGAAATAAGGGGTTAAAATTAAAAATAAAAATTTCTAAATCGAATGAAATAAACAAAATTATATATTCTTAACGCGTTACTTACCGTACAAGGGCACCAAAAGATCCTATGAAAAATCGTTCGTTTCTTCTAAATACCGAGTTAAACGAGTCAGAAGACGTTTAAGAAGAACTCGAGAAAGCGGCGCCTGGTCGATGAAAATAATTTTGAGTTGTCCCCTTGTCTCTCTTCGCTCACTGACAACGACCGTTGTCCTAACTGGAAGAACTCTTCCTCCCACGAGCTACTCATGACAGCGTGATCAACACTTCTTTGCTCCCGTGGAACTACGTTTACAAGCCTCTCGCGGCGGAAGACAGGAATCGTTCACGAGATACTACTTTATCAAACACTCGTTCTACCCTTAATGTACCCAAATATTTTTCCTGGACCATTGACAACCAACACGTTCACTTCGCGTTAACGGAGTCACTGTCAAACACTCCGACCAGACACACGGATACTCAAATACCACGTAAACTGCCATTCATAAATTCCCCAAAAATCCCCAAAGCTCCCCCTTTGACTAG